TAACAACCCCGAGTTGGATATTGTTCCGTTGCACATATTTAGTGGCCAAAGAATATTCCATTGCAAGAATGCGTCTCCGGGAATCGCTAATAAATATGCTCAGCGAGTTCGTTGGTTTGAATAAGACACCAGACTTTAAATTGAACGCCAAATCGACGCAATTCATCGCTGAAGCAGTAGCTGCAGAGTCGAGACGCTATTCGAAGATTGAGCTTAGAGTTTGTTGTTTTTTTTTTTTTGAATTGTTCATTTGATTCATTTGATTAATTGCTCGTTTATTTGTTCATGTTTTCTTTTTTGAAAATATATTCGTTGGAATTTGATTGAAATAACACATTCGAGAGAATTTTTAGTGAAAAACAAGAGTGACCTTGTAGGTGAATCTGTTAGTGTAATTGAATTGTTCAGATAGTATCCAAAAATAAGTTCAGAGCAGAATCAGATATGTGGTTTGCGCATAATGTTAGTGACTATTCATATCCTGGTTTGGCTGGGAGGCAGATCTGATTTCAGAGAGGGATCTAACCTCTCTGGTGTCACATTGTTCCTATTGCTAAGGCAAGAGCTTGTTGAATCGGTGCAAAGTTGATTTTTGAAATTCTGATCAATCATTGTATTTTGCGGTGTGCATAATGCAGATTTCGTACGATCGAAACTTGCTGTATTTAATAATATCATTCCTGGTGCTGAAAATGCGTTTGAGATTTTTGCTGTACTTAATATGTGAACTTTCGTTCCGTGAAGCATTTTGTTTTTTAACTGCGGAAGAGAGCTCTGTTCTCTGGATTCACTCCAGACTTCAACACACCTTGAAAGAGGGCATTTCTTGATATGATACTGATGTTGGGAGTGTTTCTGTTAATGTAATATTTTAAGAATGACAATAATACAAAATTACTAGAATGAATTTTATGAATGACTAAAATTCTTCGGTAATCTCAAAAACAATCTTGCTGCAACGTTTTGAGCATCGTTGCGGCTGGAAGCTTTATTATAGAATCCTGTAAGTTTTATTAACATTTACAAAAGATATGATTTCTGAAATTCACTTTAAAAGTTATTGTAAAGTCTTCTTTGAATGGTAATTTTTCTAAAGTAGTGNGTCAAACTGGTCAAAGACTCAGACAGTCAAAATGAAAAAATTCAACCACTTTGATGTTGATAGTCTGGTTTTTTTTAAAATTTATTTCCATTGGTATAACGAAGGGTTTCGACATGTTCCAGTGAGACAAATAAAACTTCACTAGAATAGAAAAAACTTTTCCAGGTACTTCCCATCATCAATTACCTAAAAAACCGTAGTGTATGAGTGATAAAAAGGATTTCTTTTAATCACTTTTTCGTCTAATTGATATCCGCTAATGAGCAATAGCTCAGGGGCCAACTTACTTCAGTCCAAGCATATGTCTGCAGTTGCCTTTTGCTGGGAAATAAGCTCTAAGTAAGCATGAAATTAGCTCCGCTCACAAGCGGAAACACACTTCAACTTCATGTCGGTAAAGCTTGTTTGACCGAAGAATGCATCCGATCCATAGTTCATGTATTGAAATACAATTTCTGGCTGAAAATAAACAACAGTCTTTTAAGGCTTCACCGGACGCTCAAATGCGTCACCGAACGCTCTCAATGAACACCGAACACCACCGTCGTCCATCCCAAGAAGTCAGTCTAAATCCGTCGTTCAGACGCCTCTCTGAGCCATCCGTACCAACGCCACGCACTGCCACAATGTCTTTGATGCCAAAACTTGATAGAATCCGAAAGCGCATCTCGCAGTCATTCGGTAAACTTTCATTAATTTCATCAACCGATCATGTCACTTCGATGGTGATTTGCACTCGTTTTTGACGAACAGTTGCAATTTGCAAATGATCGTATTGCCAGCGAATGAACGTAACTAAAATCATCGTGCAACACTGTTATCAAGTGTTTTTTGTGCAGCGAATGTCAATGCTCATTTCGTTGCTTCAGTTGAGAAGTTAACCAGAAAATTCGATGGCAAAAAACTTCTCTGCGCGTCAAAATTGTAAAGATTCATACCACTATGGTGATCATTCGATGAGACTTGCGCTAATATTAAACTCATCGCTAATGACACATGAAATATTCGAAAATTTTAGACATGCAATGAATTGGTGATCAAATTATTACTGCAATATCAAATAATATTTACAAGAACATTACATAAATATCCATCAATATCATTGAACAGGAATTCATTTAGTTGATTCGGAACGTTCAGTTAGATAATGATTTTCTTTCTGAATGCAAACTTCAACCGCAAATTTACTTTGATAAATCATCGTAATGAAAAGATGTTTTGAATATGAATTAAACTAATGATCGAAATAAGAAGTTAAGTAGTATTCAAAATGAGAAATCAAATATTATAGTAGAGCCGTATTGAATTGACGTTTTCGATTGAAGAGATAACATGAACACTCAGTTTCAGAGCGTGATGACAAACGAAGAGATTCGATGTTGTCTGAAGAAGACGCTGAAATTGAAAGTATGTTGAAGTATCGTCGCCAAAGACATCAACGACGCGGTTCTGAAACATTTTGTGGTTCGGTTGCAGTTTATTCGAATAATTTCGGTGCTATCAATACACGTCTTTGAAATTATTCAACCAAACAAAAAGCACATGCACATTGATCACGCACATAAATTTCATCAGACACGTCTCTTTTCCATTGAATTTTCCAATTTCATTGAAAAATTTTCCATTTTCTCGTCGCAATTTTTTGTTTTTCTCTTTTTTGTTCCATATTTTTATTCCGCGGTTATTTGTTGGAGCGTCATTTTCAAAGCGGAAATTCTCCCATCAAAATTTGTCGCTCTTCGTTTGGATTCAAGCAAAAATGAGTGAGAGGATAACTCGCAATAGGAGTTTGCATTTTCCGAAGTCTCTCTCGAATCTCTTATCTAATTCATGCGCTCGCTAGTAATGTATGTCTTTAGTCGGTCACGGGGTCACGATAAGCACAACGTTTTGCAAGTTTTGTGCTGACTTTTGCATAGGACAATATAAGTGAATGAATTATCAAGAAATGAAAATAAATTTGACTAAATAGTTTCGATTCANACGATGCATATTCATATTTCTGAATTTCATTTATAATTCCTTTTCTAAATGTCGAATATTTGCCTCATCATACGCACTCATCATTCATCATTTTTACGTGTAAACCACTTTTGATAAAATGATCTCTTTTCACGTCGTTAATGAAACAGTATTATTTTGTAATATTCCCGTTGTTTGTGTATTATTATTCTGCTCGCTAAATTCCATTGAAGTTGTTTATTACTTGTTTATTGAAGTTGTTTATTACTGTTATTTTGCGATTGTAATTAATTATTCCTCGTTCTGTTGTGATTGTTTTTATTTGATGCATTCATCGTACTGTTTTTACTTGATGCAATCGGCAGTGATGCTGTTTAAAAGGCCGCAAAAAACGAAATAAACGTTTTAATTGGTGTAAAAATCAATCCACAGAGCAGTAAAGTGAAAGGAGTGGAATGGAATGGATGTGGAGAAATTCCGATGGAAATGATATCGTTTCACTGCATTCTTCATGTGCACTCAACTCAATTTTCACGAATTTCTTATGCTGTTTGTTCGAACTATCGGTGTATTAATTTCTCATAAGCATGTACAATGAGTGCGAGGGGAGAGCAGGAAACTCAATCAATCGAGAATGATTTAATTGAATTATATTTCATTCGATCGTGTACATGAAAACAATATACAATACGAATGCATCGTTGAATTTGTCAATGCCAGATGTCTGTTCACATTTCATGATCAAAGAAACCAGTTCCAGTTGAAAGTTCACGTCATATTTAAACATTCCAAGTCATCATTCCGATACCCCTTGTTGATAAAGTGTATGAGTGCAATCAAGAGTTTGAGTTAGAAAGGCTTCATAAAAGAAATTATAAGATTATATGAAAAATTATATGCTAGAACGCCGTTGTGATGGTGTTTTTTAACTCGAGTATTTAAATGCGGTTAGTTGATGGCAACACTCTCCTTCTCCTATTTTCTGACTATCATTAGCTCGTACGGATCCGACAGTGTTTTCATTTGTTTCAACAGGGTTTTCATTCTTTTCCTTGTTGTTACAATTACTCTCATAGCTTTTATCACCAAAAGTGTTCTCTTGTGCTAATTTCTCATTCATTTCACTCAACAATTAAAGTCAAATTCTCATTCTATCAAATACACTCTATAATTGATCATTTGATTGTCAAACGTTGTTGAGCAATAATATTCGATTGCTGTATTGTTGACTACGGCTGTCAACATTCGTCAACATATCCAATAAATAGTAAAGGCTACAGAATAAGAAGTTGATTCTGACTGTGAAGTGAAATGAGACGAAGTGAATGAGAAAAACTCATCAAGAGAACGATATTCGCATGTAATAGCTTTGAGAGTGAATGCAACACGTCTGAAAAGAATGAGAGTTCATCTGAATCAGTTTGAAGTGAGCGTATCAGAGACAATAGCTTTTCACGCAATCATATTCGATTGCAATGCTGAGAACACAACGGTTTAAGAGAAGGTCCAGCGATGGGAATACCATCATGAACGTGCTAACAAGATCTGAAGTTAACCTGTGCGATTCCCTATGCAATGATAATGTGAAGGAAAGTGATCAAGAAGATCCCGTAATTGACATCACCTAGAACCGATTCATGAAATATGATTTCAAGAAGGCTCATTGCCACCGTGTACAAATTAAACTGACTGTGAGAGCAATAAACTATCAAAAATTCTGTTTAAAATCGGCGAGAAATTTCCGGGCTGGTTTTCGTTCGTTCCTGATGTTTAATTACCAATATTTAGCATCGATTCTGGCTTGGTGTTAAATTTTTTGATCTAAATAACCAGTCAAAGGGGTGGCCAAAGAAATATTCACGAGAACTAATAGCAAAACAACCCGACATCCCATGTTATTTTCACATGCACATCATGGCCAAAGTGAACTTCATGTTGCGAAAATTCATAAATAACAAAACTCCAAAGTAATTCGTACGCGTAAAACATAATAATGCGATTTAGTTGAATGCTTCATTATGAACTGAAGGAACGTGAACGAAAAACTGAGACACTCCAAAAATAATTGCTTCTTCATAAGATTTCTTAAGCAATTTATCATTGTGCTGTTCATTTTCTCAATTTCGTTT